CCTGAGAAAAACACTAGAAAACACATAATGGGAAAAATCCCATCCAAACGATTATGATTTGTCTTTAAAATTGTGGTGGCTTCATATTTTCAAGCCTTGTTGATGTTCACAGCAAAAATAAATACACTTTAAAAAAACAGCCATCTTGCACACCCCTTGAACACTACACAAATATGAGTTGCAACCATTTGAGACTGGAATTGTCTTCTCTTGATCATTCCCCGGGAACTGTTATTTGCAAGTTATAAAGATATTTATTCATACACTGACAACACATATACATTTCCATCCCTGCCCTCATTCATCCCTTCTCGGTCTGTTTCTCCTTTTAATACTACTTTTTTTCTTTTACTCATTTTACAGTTGTATATAAGTCAAAAAGGATGTGTGCATCTGAATTATAAGTCATTTTCTTAAATACTAATTCAACATTACTTTTTCACATCTTTCATTTGTTATTTATGTTTTTGTTAAGTAACATTTTAGACTTGTCTGCATTAAATTTCATCTATGTTTTTACCCAGTCATGAATAATGGTTTTCTGAATTTTCTTTGCTAATCTTTCTAGTTTTCATTGTATCACTATACAGTACCTTACCAGTTTTCTGTGAATACCAAAATCTAGATCAATTATATAAATTAGTTGAATCATTAGGCTTAGTCAGGTGGTTGAGGAGCACTGAACTACTGAAATATCAGATGATCGTATTGGAGTGATTATACTGTACATCATCAAGTTTTTTTTTTTGGAGTGAAAGGAAAATCAAGTCAACATCCTACTTTTGTTCCTGAAGACAATCTTGGATATAATGTGGATATTAAATATCCACAAATATTTTTTTAAATAGTCTCAAATATAGAACAGCATAGCGACACACTTGTTAGCATTGCTTATCCTGGGACCCTGGGTTCAATTTTAGACCTGGACTCTATCTGCATGGAGTCTGTATGTTCTGCCCATGTTCAAGTGGGTTTGCTCCAGGTGCTTTCTTTTCGTCCCACAGTCCAAAGACACACCTGTAGGCTCATTGGCCTCTGGGAAAATCGGCCCCGGACTGAGTGTGTGCGCGTCTGTGTTTGTGCTGCGATCGACTGGCTTCTCCTCCAGGGTGTACCCTGCCTTGCATCCCTTTGCTTGCTGGGAAAGGCTCCGGCTCCCCCTCATCCCTGAATTGGATGAAGTGGTAGAATATTGATGGACAGTTGTTGCAGAAACACATTTTCTACCCAGGCAAGTTCATCATGAATCTGAACAGGCTGTGAGCTTTTATTAATAGTTATTATTAATCTCATTATTACTGCTAGTAATGTGCTGGTACTTTGCAATGTAGTATGGAAGGTCATGGAGCTTCTGTTTCCAGGGGCATGAGGCATGAGGTATCAGGTTGTCTGTGGATGAGCAAATGAAGCTCTCAAATTGGCCATCCGAGGGAAAGCCTGCAGTTACAGCTACTCTGCCAGTACAGGCTGCAGTTCTCTATAATTGCTTGCAAATAGCAACAGCAGGGGAGGCTGACTTAAGTGTTGGTTAATTGGAAAAGGTTTTGAAATTTCCCATTTTCACACTGGTGCGATTAGGCTTTGTTTCATATTCAAAGAGAATCTATGGTGTTCTGGAGGTTGTTTTTTTTTAGATCTCATCTGAAGTGGAAGAAGCGATTACAAAATAGAGGGGTGTATGAGATATAAAAACCAATATGTTGTTAAACACTGTAGTTTACTCAGGTGAAACTTTAATTTTGCAGATTAATTTCCATCAGTCAGTCTAAGATTAGTGGTAAAAGGACTTTGATCTTTAAACCTCCTAAATGTCTCAGTTCCACACTCTGCTATCATTTCTATGGTCTATAGACCACCCAAATCTAATTAAGCATTTTTACGTGAGTTTACCAGTTTTACTTGCTTTTTATGCCTCACATTTAAGAGGATCCTTATTCATGGTGACTTTAATATACATATTGACTCACGGTCTTCCAGTTTACCTAAAGATTTTCTAGTTCTGTTGGGGTGCTTTGATCTAACCCAGTTTGTTCTTAACCCAACACACACTGTACCGTACTGTCCATTTAGGACTGAAAAAACAGGGAGAACGGGACAGAGAGGATCCCAGACAGGAATGTGAGGAAAGGGAAAGAGCCCTGAACCAAGGGAGGAAGCTGCCCCGGAGGCAAGCCAGAAGGGCGGCCAGGAAGAGGCCAGAGAGCAGAAGAGGTGAAGAGGGACAGGGCAAACAGGAACAGAGCTGGGCTGTGGGCAGGGAGGTGAGGGGGCTGCACGGAGCCGCAGGACAGTCCGGCTCTCAAGGTTGTAGAGATCAGGGACAGGGTCCAGGCAGGTCGTGGGAATCTGGAGACAGGGCCCCAGTAGGTTGCAGACGTCTGGAGGAAGGTGCGATTGGGCTACCGTGATCGGGTCAGGGTGCGAGCAGACCAGTGTCTATCAGGGTCAGGGTCCGAGTAGGCTGCTAACATCTGGAGCAGGGTGCGAGCGGGGTGGTATATTCTGGAGCATGGTTAGAGCAGACTGCAGTAATTTGTGCAGACTGCAATAATCTGAAACGACTGTGATCAGACTCCACCCATGATCAGACTGGTACATTCTGGAGCAGGGTGAGAGCGGACTGCAGTAATCTGAGCAGACTGCAATCAGACTGGTACATTCTGGAGCAGGGTGAGAGCGGGCTGCAGTAATCTGAGCAGACTGCAATCAGACTGGTACATTCTGGAGCAGGGTGAGAGCGG